GTTGATTTTTCTCATGCCATTTTCCAGCCTGGAGTGTGTCCCAGCTGTCCTGAGCCCAGAACAGCATCAATGGGTTGAGAAAAATTTGGGGGGTTTTTTGGGTTGGTTTTTTTTTTTTTTTTTTTTTTTTTTTTTTTTTTTTTTTTTTTTTTTTTTGTGATTTTTTTTTTTGTTTGTTTGGTTTTTTTTTAATAAAATAACAGAGTTGCTCCAAGTCCCTGTCATTTAGAGCTTTAGGGCAGAGGATCTGCTGGGTCTGCCAGCCAGGCTGTAATTGTGCTTCCATGCAGTTTGGAAAACAGATTTTTCCTCAGAGGCTTTATAGCAAACGTTGGCTACGACAACACCGGTTTGCACTTTCCAAACCCTCCTGGTTCTAAGTTTGTCTTGCAACAGAGCCAAGAGTGGTGTTACAAAAATGTCTGCAGATAGCTGCTTTATGTGTGTGCTGGTGCCTGAGTACACCTGTGATTCCTGACTACCTGCCAAAATAGCCAGAAAGCTTTTTTTGTGCGTGTGAGTTTGACTTCTCACTAGCCAAGAGCCAGATTTGCTACACCACCACGTCTGACCTGGTGGTTACAACTCCTTCCTTGATGAGGACATCCAAAAAGTGGGTTTTGGCCAGAGGTTTTTTACTTTCTGATAATGGGAACTGTTGGTTTTTGCATCCAAAAAAACACCAAGTGCTTTACAAATGTGGGTCTCCCTGTTTGAAAGGAGATAGAAGCCCTGGCTTGCTGACTCGCCCTAGAAGGGATTTGAAGCCAGTGACAAATTAAGTTTATTATTATGACTTACTGGGGGTTTTTTGTGCCAACACAGCATTCACACACAGACGTCCAGTGTCCCATTTTTTCAGAGTCCAAACAACATCTCTGCCTAGGCACTGCCCTGGAGAGCTGAGAGAAAGGAGAGACCACCTGCAGCTCTGCCTTCTTGCCTAGAAAAGGAGCATCCAAGCTCTTTGATTTTAAACACACTTCAGAAAGTATTTGCTATGTTTTTCTGGTGCTAAACAATCCTGTTGATAAGGGTGCTGTGTGGAAGAGGGTGGTGCATACAGAAGGGTGGCTCAGGAGGCTCCAGAACCACCTCTTGGACAATAATTTCTTTGAGCTGGGAGTCAGAGCAGCAGCTGGATGTTCCTACTTGAGGCTCCTTTCCTAAAAACTCTTCCTGTGGGCTGGGGTTGAGTGCTCCTCATGCCTGGCAGGCTTGTTCCTGTGTTTTATAGCCACAGGTAAATCAAGGAGATGGGAAACAGGCAAATAGGTGAGATTTTGTGTTAGTGGGGCAGACACTAGACACTAGATTTGCCCACTCTGATCTCTCAGAGAAATTTTTACAGTATGACAGGAGAATAAAAGCAGTGTATGTGCTCTTAACCCCACAGACCAGGCATGAAGGTAAAATTGCTCTTCAGATGTTTTTAAGGAAAATGGGGTATTTTGCAGAAAAACCCTGCTGTTTAAAATGGGAAAACTGAACAGTGCATGACAGTGCTTCTCCTGACATGCTCAAACTCCCACATGGGGCAGATGCTGTTGTTATTCTGCTCAGAGGCAGCTCTGAGATGAACAATTTCCATGTACAGATACTCCTGTGGCATTACATGACTCCTGCATTAACAGACACTAAACTTCCCTTGTAAATTGGCTGCCATGGGGGCACTCACATTTTTAAAAAGCTGTTTTCCCTCCCAAGACATGCAGCCTCAGTTTGATCTGATTATCAAACCATGCTAAAACACAGAGTAATGGGCCGTGGGATCTCACAGCTTAAAAAAAAAATTTAAAAAAAAGTAAAATCCCAGAGCTCATCATTAGTTTCCCAGGCTAAATGATGTGGAATTGTTATCACCCATTTCATGTTCAGCTTTGATCACAAGTCTAGGACAGCAATGCAAGGCTGGGGTGCACCTGGCACTGTCATGATGCTGAAAGCTGCAACACAGAAAATTCTCTGTAAGACACCTACTGCAAACAGAAACAACACTGAGACACAATACCCACTCTTAGTCATTGGAATGGGGGAGAGAAGATTAAATCACACTGGAGACATCTGTCTCCCTGCCTCAAAAAACTTCATTCTCATGCTAAGTCTGGTTTTAAAATGTCACCTTGAAAATGTGTGACATTTTAATGGGCTGATTGCCTGAGATTCTCAAATCCTTTAATTAGCATATGAATCACAATGTTAAATATTGTGGGAAAAGCATAAGAAATTAGAATTAGAAGAGAATGCCTTGCATTTCCCTTGGTTAAACATATCTTGGGAGAACTGTCTCATAGAATCTAATATTACAAAGACAAATGAGATTAAAAAAATACTGTGGTATTCCCATTTATACTATCAGCTGGTTGTGATTACATGGTTTGTTTTTGGTTTTGTTTTTTTTTTTTTTTTTTATTTTTACAGCTGTCTATGAAAGCAGCCTGGGTGTTGCCTGTTCTTTCAATAACCCTCACAGCACATTACAGCATCACCACAGTCACTACTGCAGCCTTGAGAATGGGTTGCATTCCCTTTTTCCACGTTTCTGATGCAGCTCCAAAACATTCAGCAGGATTTCATCAATGCCTTTTGCCCATCTCTCTCCAGTAAACAGTGTTTTTGGTTGCTCCTAAAAACAGTGGAGGCCAAAACAAACCATCAATTCCCAAAAATCCTTCAGTCAGAGAAAGCCAAGGAGCCTGCACTGTGCAAGAAGCTCCTTTGTGCCAGGGTCCATGGCTTGGTGGGAGCCAAGCACATGGATAAATTCTTGCTGGATCAGGCTTTGTGGTTAGAGAAAATCCTTCCAGCTGAAATAAACCTCCCATAAGGATGTAACTCTTAGGAAGTTTTAGTGGGAGGAGGGGGCAGTCAAGCTTGCACAGGAGGTTTTCTCATCTGCTGTGAGGCTCAGTGCAGGAGCTGGCAAGGCCTCAGCAATTGTTCATGGCTCCTGCACAGCTCATCTGCTCTGGGAGCTGATTTGTGACGGAAATCCGCTTGAACGGAGATGGCAAATTCGATTTACTTGTGCAAAAGTAGTGAAGAATTCCACAGAAGAACAACCTGGCAATGTACTTTGGATTATAAGATTTAGGAAGGGAAAAGAGCACAAACCACATAATTCAGGTTCGACCTTCCAGCATCAGAAGTTTGAGGTTAATCAAAACTAGGGTGTAGTTCATTCATGAGGATGTCTGTGTGAGTTGGAGCTGACGCCGTGCTTGGATCTTTCCATTTCCCTTAGGATCTGTTCAAATCCCGGGATCAGAGCCCTTTCCAGTTTGCAGCAGAAAGCCCAAAACCACACACAAAAAGCTGTTTAAAGGAGGAGGCACCAGCAGACAGAACTAGCTGTGAGTCTGTCCTGGGTCTCTGGAAACTTCCAGGTAGGAACAGAGTAGAGGGATGGAAGTTTTGGAAGTTTTGGGGTAATTTGGGTCTCCCTGAGAGATTGGAGAGAAACTGAAATAACACAGTTTGTGTGCTGATGAAAGAGGCCAAACACAGGAAATGGCACTGGGGGAGAAGGGAGAGTTAAACTCAGGATTAATGTGCAGAAACAACAGGAGAACCATCTGAATTTCCAGAGCAGGAGGCAAGATTTGCTGTTCAGGGCTGGTACCAGAGACCTGCCAGAGAGGCTGAAGCGTTTCCTGGCCCATGGGAAAGGGAAAGGGAAAGGGAAAGGGAAAGGGAAAGGGAAAGGGAAAGGGAAAGGGAAAGGGAAAGGGAAAGGGAAAGGGAAAGGCTGTCCCCCTCCTGCTCATCCCTCTGCAAACCAGCTGCAGCTCTGGGCTTTGCAGAGCTGGGGAGCCAAGGGGAGCCCCAGCAATGTCCACACCTGTGATTGCCAATGTGGGAGATGCCAGGGTGGATGGCATCCCTACTCCCAGCAGCCACACCATGGCAGGGCCTGAAACTCTCAGCAAGGACCTTTCCCAGCTGGGAGAAAGCAGGTGAGCAGCTGTTGGAACTCAAAATGTCTCTCAGACATTTTTAGAGGTTCCAGGCCCTGGTCAGAAGCATTTTAGACCCTGGCAGACAGCTGCAAACAGCTGTGATTTTGAGTTTGAGCCATGGAATGAGTTACCAACTTTGGAGGTGGAACAAGCAGTCACAAAGGGTTAGATAGCATAGTAAAAGTAGTTACAAAGTAGAGGGGAATTTTTTTTAGTATTATACAGGGGGGTTTTAATACTTGTACAGGGGGGTTTTTACTTTGTACATGGGGGTCAGAAGTTCTAAGATGGAGGAAAGTGGGCTGATCCTGTTCTTCCTCCTTCTTCTTCCTTGCCTCCATGTTCTTGGTGATGTTGGCACTCACAGATTGGTTTAGAGTAGAAAAGCACTTTGTAATATAGGTAGTAGCTATTGGGGGAAAACTATAAACATGTAATACATAATATATCATATAAAAGATAGCAGCAGCCCTGGGCAGGGAGAGAAGAAGGAAGCAGCAGACAGAGAGGATGTCAGTGTGTGTGTGTGCCTCTGCCTGAGCTGCTGACCAAACAGCCACAGCCCAAGAAGAAAATCTTTTAGATAACTCACAATAAACTGCCTTGAGACCAAACAACAAGAGCCTGCACAGTTTTTCTTTGAAATCACGGGTTGGAGGAGGAATTTCACCACCACATGGTACCCCAGAGCAAGACTGGGGTTCCCACAAGCATCATGGCTGTGGCTGGATTCTTGTGGGGCATTTACTGCAGCCTTCCCTTTGGGCAGGTGGTGCACAGGAATCAACCCCAGCACTGTCTGTTCACACAGCTGCAACACCCGGGCAGAGCTGGGCTCCCAACCATCACTAAACCCTCCATGGAACTGCAGCTTTCCATGATGGACCACAGGAGTAATTCCCAGGTTTCTCCTCCAAGGAAAACCATCCCCCTGCTCTCCTGTAGAGCCCCTTCCCTTGTATTCATTATGGGAGCATTGTTCTTCAGGAACATGCACTGTTCTCATGTGAACACATACACAAAATGAAACAATAACACCTATTTCTGTAGAAGAATATATTATTTAGCAGATTGGTTTAAAAGTTAAAAAAAAAAAATCTGTACATCTTTGAAGGTGTCTCTTGTTGGTTTTTTTTTTTTTTTTTTTGCATCAACAAGGATAAAAATGTGTTTGCACCATGGTTTTTTCAGCTTTGTGCTCCCTTCTTTGCTCATGCCGAAGGATCCCGTGGTGTCCAACTGTACCAGGCCACAAAGCAACCCTGCAAACTCACTAAGGTTTCTTCTGATTTCTTCTAGTGTAGAAAAAAAAAAAAAGGAAATTGCATCCACTATGCTGGGCTTCTGAATGTACTGTGAACACTATAAAATTCAGAGAATAATGAGGAGAAATGTGTCATTAGGGCCTACCAGGCAAACAAAAATGTATGCCTGGACCCTTGTCAGTGTATAAGCATCTGGTGAGCTCTGCTGTAGTTAGCATACTGCTGTACACATATAGAGAGTACCTCAACTAAAACAACCCCTGGTGCCAGGGCATCATTTCCCAGAAAAAGGCTCCTTAACTAAACTCTGATTTGTCTCTACAGCCTGCAGGCAGCTGGGTCACCCAAAAGGCAGATCTGATGGAGGTTGGAGCTGTGCTGCAGCCTGAGCAGTGTCCGCAGGGAGAATCCTGCTGGGAGGCTGTGGTGGGAATGCTGGAGCTGGGGAATCCTGCTGGGAGGCTGTGGTGGGAATTCAGGAGCCTGGGGGATCCTGCCAGGAGGCTGTGGTGGGAATTCAGGAGCCTGGGGGATCCTGCCAGGAGGCTGTGGTGGGAATTCAGGAGCCTGGGGAATCCTGCCAGGAGGTTGTGGAGGGAATGCCAGAGTCTGGGGAGCCCGCGGTGTCCGACGGCAGCAGCACCTCTGGGAGGAGGCTGCAGGCTGTGGATTCATCTCTCCCTGCATGGTCCCACTTGGATTTTGACGTAGCCACCACCTCTGCTTGGCTAACACAGCATTTCTCAAACCAGAGTAGCCTCAAGGCTCGTGGTTGATTTGTTCAAAGGCTGTTTCCTCTCACTTTTCGGTACTGCCGGTGGTCAAAACGTCACTTTTCTGTTTCTGCAGCTGGAATGAAGAGCAGAGCAGGATTAATCCCCCCTGACTCACACTCACAGTGCTGCTGTGAGTCCCACGCTCAGCTCTCCACAAGGCATGTGCAACATTTCCTGGGAAATAATAGGCAGAAGCTTGGAATATCACAGGCATTGTTTCATCCAAACAGCTCTGGATGAACGTCCTGGCTAAACAGAACTCAGTCTTTCTCATCAGCTATTGTACTAGGATCTCAGATTATTAATTAAGTCCTCTTGTTTCAGAATATTTCTGAATCCAAGCATCTCCTATTTTTTAAGACCTCTTGTGCCAATACACTCTAATTAAAACCCCATCAGTTTGTATAGAAATGCTGTTTTGACAGCTTCTATAAACCAGAAGTAAAATCTCAACTCAGCTTAAAAGATGAATAAAACTCAGAAAGTCTGGCAGTCGTATTTGAGTTATTTTGCCCTCGTTTGACAAATGCTCCTGCCTAAATGGAAAAATGCCTAAAAGTCTTTGTTCTCCTTTAAAATTTAGTGCCCCCAGAGCCTGTGCTCTTTGATCAACAAGCCTCAGTACTTCAGCTGCTGAAGGGCTTTTTCTGCAAAGCACTTGGGAGGAGATGGGAGCTACAGCAAAGCTACTGTTCCACTCATGGATGATCACGTGGAGGAACCTTCATTACCCACATATCAAACAGTATCAGCACAACTGGTGCTCCAGGGCACTTCCCAAGTTATTTTAATGATGGAGTGGCTGATAGCACCCTGCCTACATGATGAATTTCTTCATATCAGAAACTCCCTACTCTGTGATGCCATTAGGGCAGGTTTTATCGTGGATCTTGGCAGGGAAAGGAGGCACTGGAAGAGGTGTGCAAGAAAGGAATGCAGGGCCATTGTCACAGGCTGCAGGGAGCTGGACCAGCACTCTGACTGCTGCCCTGGGCGCTGGTCCCTGCCCTGCCAGGCTCCTGAGGCAATGCAGACCTGCTGAGAGACAGCAAATGTGGTTACCTGGAATCCCCACCTGCCCTGAGCCTTACAAAATGAGAGATGCTCTGTACATCAAAGTCCCCAATGGACAATTAAAGGGCTTCACTGGCTGTGCATTTCATCCTCCTGGGTGCTTTGCATGGAACAGTGATTCCCCATAAAATGCCAAGCACATCTTGATGACACACAGGTGACTGGAAATTCCTTCCCAGAAAATAAACTCATGCACTGGTGCTGCAGAGCCTTGAACTGCCCAACCCCAGAACGTTTTGCTGCGGTGTAACCCAGGCAAACTCCTTCCCAAGGGAGGGCAGATCCCTGCAGGGAGAGGTGTGTGCTCCCTTCAGGGGGTCACTCCTGGGGTCTGTGCCTTGCAAGCAGCTCCTGTCCTGTGCCCATACTTGTGTGGTTCCTGGTGGACTCTGCAAGGACGTGTTTTTACTGCTTGTGCCACATACCTCTCTCCAGGCAGGTGTAATGAATGAGTTTCTCAGGATAATGATTGCGCCACAAGCATTCCCACTGTTTCGGAATTAAGCTGCTGCTTAATTATAATGTTTGGCTTAATAAATTATAATGTTTGCTGTATCAAGGAGTTAATTGGAGTTTACCTCTTTCATAGCATCATCTATCTGTTTTAACCCCTCGTAGTGGTCCCTGGATTCCCAAAGAGGCTGGAGCATCACCTCCTCCACTTCTGGGAACAGCTAGGTGGAAACAAGACAAAGACTATCAGCATTTCCTTTTGCATTCCTCAACTTGCTGCATTATTTGACTGTACATGCTGAAAACGAGGTGTGGAAGGTGCTGGGATCCCTGATGTGGGAAGAATGAACTCTGACCTCCAATGATTTCAAAAGGCTAAGTAATTACTTTATTAAACTATATTATACTATAACTACATTACACAAACAAGAACCATCCCTAACTAACTAACCAGAAAACCTGTGACTCTCTCCTGAGAGTCCTGACACATCTGTGGATCCAACAGGTCAATGAATCCAAACAACCATCACCAGAATCCAATCGAGCCATCACCTTGGGTAAACAATCTCCAGAACACATTCCACATGGGCACAGACAGGGAGCAGGGAATGAGATAAGAATTGTTGTGATTCTCTTTTCTCTGCTTCTCTCAGGAGAAATCTCTCAGGAGTCTCTCTGTTCAATGTGAATACCACAGGAAGGTACATCCCCATTTCCCTGCATAACCAAGCACCTGGTGGGGCCAGCACCAGAGGGAAGCTCTGCTCTCCCCCTCGCTGGTTTCTGCCCCTGGGTGAGGGTGACTTTACCTTTGTCACTGTTTCGAACATGGGGATGAGCACGAACTTGAGGAACCCGATCTGTGCCGTGGGTTTGGTCACTTTGTCGCGGTCCATGAATGGCGCCACCGGGAGCCCCTCAGATTTTTCTCGGTCGCTCTGGAACAACCAGAGAAACAACCCAGAGATAACAAAGCCAGAGATAACAAATATTAATCCTGTCTAGGAGGCTGTGAGGAGAGTGATGCACCAAGCAGATGAGCAGCCCTCAGATGCAGATCACAGAGGTGGCTGTAGATAGCACAGAATAGTGATGTGCTTCCCTCAGGCCAATCTCTCTGCTTTGTGGAGAGCAACACCTGAATAAAGAGAATTCTGTTCACTTATTTCTGCTCAGCATCAGCATCAAAGCGTTCACCTCCAGCCTTGCAGGGTGGCTGACTCCCTTTGCAAACCCACTGGACTTGTGAGGTGAAGTATTTCAGAGTATCTAGAAAGCTGGTAATGGCCCTGCTGCTCTGAAAGAGAAGGAATAGTTCTGTGATTTCCTCATTGTTCTCCAGAGAGTGATTATTTTCAGGTATTCAGACAGAAATTATATCTCATTCTTTACTAATGATTAAAAGAGAAAATCAGTTGCATTCACTTCCTTACTGAGCAGGTTCTTTTGCTGGCATCCTTCTCTCACTTTTTGTAAAAGAAGCTTTCTGTGGAATCATAGAATGGTTTGGGTTGGAAAGGATCTTAAAGATCATCCAGTTCCAACCCCCTGCCATGGGCAGGGTAACTTCCACTAAACCAGGTAGTTCAGAGCTAGAACCAGACTGGGCTGTCAGACAGTGAAGCATCTGTGGGATTTGGAAATAGCAGAAAAGAGTGAAATTGTACAATTGCATCCCTCCCTCACTCTTACCTGCATAAAATACTCCTCCAGTAAGCAATCGACCCAGGGCTCTGCCACCTCCATCGGGCGGACTTCGTTGGAGATATCACAGCATTTTATCAGCACCATCTTCAGCTGAAAGAGGATAACACTTCAATTGCAGTCCTAAAACCAGCCCTTTCCCCCCTTTCCACAGCTCCTGTCCCTGCAATGCTTTCAACCAGAAAGGACAACTTCAGGATTTAACCAGAGGTCTTAAATGATGTGGATCCCCTTTCCCTCTCTCAGCTGTGCTGTGTAAATCACTTTTCCCCTCTCTGCCTTGCTTCTCCCCTCTGCAGCACTGGGATGTGCACTTATCTACTGCATGAAGATATTCAGTCACAAGTGACCATTACATTTTTTGTGGAGCACTCAGAGGCAGCTGGGAAAAGATTTCCCTGGAAATCAAACACAACTTCACTGGGGAAGAGAGGAGACAAGTAGTTTTATTCTTATAGATTTTTCTTGCCCCACAGTAAAGGACAATAAGAATTTGTGGCCTAATAGAATAAAATCTTTTATTCTCCTGATGGGACTCCTGATTGGATTTCTAAAGCTGGAAAAATCTATTTAATATAAAGCACTTCCAAATTGTAATTATTTTTTGCTGGGGCAGAAAATGTAGGAGGGATTATTTTTTGATAACATATATTGAATCTTGATTTTTCAACAAACAAGCTTTCACTCAATGCACAGAAGAATAACAATCCACAAAACCTCCTTACACAGGTCATGTGTTCTTCATTTGTGTAATCAAAGTTTTCCATTTTTTCCTTGAAAGAGTCCAGTATTTCTGCATGTCTCGCCATGTCTGTAGCCAGGATTAATGTAATTATCCCCTAGCAAAGAAAACATGTTCACATATTAACTTGACATTCCTTACAAGGCCTGCTATTGCAAAGCCAAGTAGGGTCTGTCTTGCACATGAAATGCCACAGATGCACTGAATTGCTCATGCTGGAAGGGGAAATTTCTGACTTGGAACTGCCAAAGAAATGGGAAGAGGGTTATAAAGAGTTCATGGTACATGAGGATCATGGTTTTATGTGATATTCCCGAGACACTGAGGTTTTTCCTTTCTCATTGACTAATTGTAGGAAAGCAAACTGTACAACAGGATGTTAAAAGCAATGCTCTGGCTGCCAAGATCCACTTTCCTCTCCTTGGAAGGCACTGTGGGTTTTGCTGCTGACTCTTAGTGGCCCTGAGACAAAAATCACGATGTGGATGCCAGCTGTGCCCATTCTCTTTGGATTAAGGGCTTTGAAACACTTGGATGAGGACAAGGAGCTCTGTATCCTCCTTCTGTGCAGAGTTTATGATGGGAAAACATGTGGTTAATTTAAAGTTGTGGGTTTTCATACAGAACAGTTCCTTTTGGTCCCATGCCAGTTTCCCACACACTGGCAGAATCAGGAACTCCCACCAGCCCTTAAACTGCGTCTTCACTCGGCGTGTAAGGAAGGTGTAATGTGGAAATTAAGACTGAATTTTGGTCCTTAGAGCCCTGGTGGGAATTTCAACATTGTTCAGTGCCTCATAGATAACTGTGACGACTCCCAGTGCACCAGGGCCTCTTCCAACAGTACAAGTGCTCTGCTGTTGCAACTTCTTTTCCCCTTTTGAAGCCCCTCTTAAAAATTAATTCAGTGTTCCTGTAAAGCACAAACTTCTGCCCTGAGAGCTTAATCCTTCCCCAGTCAGCGCTAATTGGCTCCTCCAGCAATACAAACATCTACCCCCAAAATGTCATCGGCTTTAATAGCCAGGATGTACTCATTATTCCTCAGCAACCCATTCCAGGGAGTGCTGCTGTGGAAATTTTCCAAGAATCCCTCTTGGACCCTCCCAGTTCTAGGGGCTTTTTCAGCCCTGCCCTCCAGGGAGGATGAATCACTCTCATGGTGGAGCAGGGAAGTCCATGCCCGTCTACAGCCTCAGGAACCGCGCGCGGGAGCAGCGCTCCTCCTACCTGTCTTATCTGCTTGAACTGGTCCTGGTCCACGTTGGAGAAGATGTTGAATTCTGGCTGGGAGATGATCTGGAAGGCCACGGCGCAGTGGTGGTTCTCCAGCGGGGAGATGTCGTTGTAGCGCACGGCCAGCTCCGTCCGCGCGTTGATCTGGTAGCTGAGGGCAGGGAAAACCATGAGGAAAGAACTCCTCAGACACCCACCAGCTGCTCCAAACCTCCTGCTTGCATTCTTTTCAATGCTTATTCAATTAGCTGCAGCTTTGGGGTTTTTTTTTTTTTTTGGTTGTTGGTATTAAATCAGATTTTCACAGAAAATAGATATTTAATATAATCGCAGGCGTTGATTCCCCTCAGTGGATGAACATTCACCCAAAAGGGTTTTTTTTTTTTTCTTCTCTAAATTTTACCACATTTCTAGTTTAAAATTATGTCGAACAAAACTAGAAGGAACTGTCTGGGTTTAATTCAACCCCTGCTAATATCAAAAACAGAGATTCTCGCTGATCCCAGTCAGAACTGAGTTCTGCCTTTATTTAATGAGTGGTTACAAGTAAATCAGATTCTCTCTCTTTCACATGCACACAAAAGTGTCTGTGGATCAACAGCAATAATTTCCTCACATGAAAATAAACAGAGTAAAGTACACTTCATGATTTATAATTATGGAATAAACTGTCAGCTAAATCCCCCTTTGAATTTTAGTGCAATTATTCCATTATAATAATTTATAGCTCTTACCAGCTGTAAAGTATTTTACCTTGTTTTTTCAGGAGTTAGGGGGAAAAGGGTTTGAATAGAAATATGAAAAAAAAAATTTCCTTACAGAACCAAGGACTGGTTGGCAAACCACAACCCAGACCTGAGCTCTGCTTTGGCCCACGTGAGTGACCAGCAGGGCCTTGGGAAAAGGTCAGAAAAGGAAAACTTGATCTACCAAAAAATGCCAACCAATGTTACCTTCCCAAGAGATTTTAAGGGAAGAGAAAGCAAGAGAACAGACTCACGTGTTGTTATAGCCTGGATGGTCCAAGTCATGGCACACTGCTGCAGTCATGAGAATCAAAATGTCAATCTGGGAAAATTTCTCCTGTAAAATACAAAACATGAATGTAGTAGTATGATTTCTACTTCCCTTATCCTTGTAAATTAAAAGAAATAAAGAAACCAGATATATTTATTTTTTAGAGAAATGCAAATCTGAGCAAAATGAAGCATTTTTCCTTAGATGAATTTACTTCAATCAAGAAAGAGAAATCTGCCTTCCCTTCCAGTAAAAATGACTCAGATTTGCCTTTGTTGCATTAAATAACAGCAGCTCAGAGGAGGCAATTTCCTTGAAATTTGCTATTACTGCAGAGATGATATAAGAGCACTGAGACATTAGTACAGTATCTTACAAGCCATTTGAGCACCCTGATTAGGTAAAGGGAGGGCTGGAAGATGGCTCTGCTGCTACTGCATTCTGCATTAACTAAAGTTAGGAAAAGAACAAGAAAAATTAAATGTTGTGTTTCCACAGCTTTTGAATAACATGGACTTACATTAAAGCAATTTTTTTTTCATACTGCTACTGGCAAGAAAACAGAATTAGGCCAGTAACTGATACGTGTAACTATGGATAAAAAGGTAGGTTTTTTTTTTTTTTTTAAGTGAAAAAAAACTGTTTTGTAAAGAAATGAAATGAATATATGAGTACAGGTTATCCAGACAGTGAAATTAATTGATGCCTATAGTTTTGGAGAAAATAAAGGTCAAATGTGTGTCCTGCATACAATACATGCCAGGCTACAGGACAAGCACAGGTAAAAGCACACATTTGGAGAAAACCTCTTGTGGGAACATTTTGTGTCCCAAACAAAGAACACACCCACAGACCATAATTCAGTAGGGGTTTGGCTGTCATTCCTAAATGTTTCACTCCAGTACAAACTGTGAACATCCAGGAGGTGAAGTTCCCTCCCCAGCAGCCTCAGAAAGCTGTGCAGGTGCTGGGGGTGGAAATGCAACACCTCTCCTTGCGTGCCCAGATGTCAGATTAAGTTTCCTTCTGATCTAGACATGGGGTAACTGAGAGGCGTTTAAAAACCTTATATTCCATTTTCAGTTTCATACGAAGGGTGAGACAGTGAGATGTGAGATGTTGTAATTCACACCATCACAATCAGAAGTCAGCTATTTCTTAGTTATAATACACTATTAGTATTTCTTGGCCTATTAGTCTTTGCTATGCTATACCTTAAATAATACTGTAATGCCTTAAAGTTAATAATTTAAAATTACTCATTGTGGGTCTTAATACAATGCACCTTTCATAGTTCTATTTCTCTGAAGTATCCAGAGGCCATCCTTTGAAACTTGTTTCTAGCTTCATTTCTCTCTCACCAATATCTGTCCTATTCTGATGGAACCCAGGCTTGGTTCAGGGGTTCCATGTGGTGAAAAACTCCCTCCTCCAACCCGAGCTTCCAAAGAAAGGCTCAGCAGTCTCTTGTTGTCTGGTCTCAAGGCAGTTTATTGCAAGTTATCTAAAAGATTTTCTTCTGGAGCTGCTGTGGTTTGCTCACAGCTCAGGCAGAGGCAAACACACACCCTGACATCCTCTCTGACTCCCGACTGCTTCTTCTCTCCCACCCAGGGCTGCTGCTGTCTTTTATATGGTACATTACGTGTTAAATATTTATAGTTTTTCCCCAATGCCTATCACCTATATTAAATGGTGCTTTTCTATCTTTTATATGGTACATTACGTGTTACATGTTTACACTTTCCCCCCAATGCCTATTACCTATATTAAATGATGTCTTTCTACTCTAAACCAATCTGTGAGTACCAACATCACCAAGAACATGGAGGTAAGGAAGGAGAAAGAGGGAGGGCAGGACCAGCCAAAAATCCCTCCATCTTAAAACCTCTGACCCCCATGTACAAAACCAAAACCCCCCTATACAGCACTCAAAAATTCTTCCCTCTACTTTATAACTACTTCTACTATAATATCTAAACTTTTGTGACTTCTTGTTCTTCCTGCAAAGTTGGTAAATCATTCCATGGCTCGAACTCAAAATCACAGCTGTTTCCAGCTGCCTGCCAGGGTCTCAAATGCTTCTGACCTGGGCCTGGAACCTCCAAAAATGTCTGGGGGACGTTTTGAGTTCCAACACTATTCCATGGCATTTTTGAGTCAGCATTTCTTATCTCAAGGTCTGCACAGGGATGCGCACACTGCATGAGCCTTCTGCCAGGCTTTGAGAATTCCCTACAAATCCATTCCCCACGGCTGAGGACTGAGCGAGTGCAGCCTCCCCAGAGGCCACCACTTGCCAGCAGGCTGGTGGCCCCTTTTGCAAGAGGAGTGGCTGAGGTTTCAGGGTGGAACTGGAGTGGTGCCACGGAGGGGGGCTCGTACCTGGAGGCTGCAGAGCGAGATCATGCTGTACATCATCTGCGTGACGCAGAAGCAGTGCCGGAAATTGTGGAAGGGGTTGTTCCTGTAATTGTCGTGGATGCACAGCTGCAGAGAGAGGGAATGGAGCTGTCAGAGGTGGCACAGCTGTTCACCAAGCACTGTAAATCCTAAAAAGAGTCCTAGGGGGGTTCAGAATCATTCTCTGCTAGGACAGAGTGACAGCGCAGGGTCTCTGACACTTTCTGCCTTCCTGGGTGAGATTTGTGTTATAGATACGTACTATAATATTGGCTTTTTGCAAATATTAAAATGGATTTTACCTGTGTGGTGTTAAAGTAACTTAGATACAAATATATAGTTTTTATTGTTAGTATAGTTAGTATATAGTTAGTTTATATAGTTAGTATATAGTTAGTTTTATAGTTAGTAGAGTTAGTAGTGGTTGTTAATTAAGCTTAGACATAGCAGTGAAATAGCTGATATAAGTATGTTTGTGTTCAAATTCCTGCTTGGATGCAATAACATCCAATGAACAAAGGATGAGGACACTGCTACAGATCTGCCAACTGTCAGCACTCACTGTCTGAAGACAGTGTGGAGCAAGGCCTAAAACAAAGGTTATGATAAAAATGAAAAAACCACAGCCAAGGAATCTGCATGCTCTAAAAAGGCAGATCCAAGGAGCAATATGCTAAACAGTTCTTGGAACATGTAAACTGGTTTGGGGAAAGTTTACTGTGCATAAGGAGCTATGAATATGCAACAGGCTGATGTAAAGGAAAAGGTATTTAAGGGCTGTCCCTGAAGATAACAGTGTGAGTGCCATGAGGCACCTGTAACAACCTTTGCTCTATGGTCCTTGTCTCCTATTTTTCTTTATTAAACTTTTAAATTTTCACAGGAGAGCAAAAATTTAACACTTGTGTGTCTCAAGAATTCACCAGCAGGTAAAGCTCACAGAAAATCCCCCCTCACACCAGCCAGCAATGGGCAAACATCCCAGCACAGCTGCATCTCAGTCCTTAAGAGAGGACACTCTGCTCTCATCCTGAATTTGTATTTCAAACCTTGCAGTGGTTAAATGGGGGCTATAACAGGCTCAGAGCCCACTCCTGGCCCCCTCTCCTGCTGAATTCAAACTGCAGCTCTGATACCTGGAGGGCTGAAATGTGGCTGTCATTTCATTTGCCAAGGCTCAGAGGTGGCACTTTGGGATGTGTTGCTTGGCAAAGAGAAGATGTGAAAGCACACCAGGCTGGAGCACACCTGGGTGGGTTTTCTACTCCAGTCAGCCTGGGAGAGATTGAGCTGTGCTGGAGACAGGAGCCATTGCTCTGTGTGGATTAATTTCCTGCAGATCCTGGCTTGGTGGCCCTCATTCCAGAGGCAGGATAAAGCCTGTCTGTCCCTGTGTCCTGCCTAGTGCCAGCCAGGCTGGCAGAGGGAGGCTGGCACAGCTGGGTTGACACATGCCACGGTCATTATTCAAATGCTCCTCTGCTTTCCTGTCCCTCACAAAGTAGCCAAGAGTCAGCAGCACTGCTGGACCCCTCTGCTGAATCCTCCTCCAAAGCCTGGACCCCAGAGAGCCCTCGTGCTTCAGCTACTGAATTAATTACATGGACAGAATTAATGACATGGACAGAATTCCAGCTAAATCAGGAATTTACTTCAGGAATCCTCACACCCATTGGGATCAAACACTTTATCTCATCACCTGACTTCTAGGAAGCCTCATAGCTCTGGATGAGGTGAAGAGAAGTGTGGTATTTCAATGCTTATTCAGTATTTGTGGGTTTCATTGCAAAAGCCTCACAGAGTATTCTGCAGCAAGGATTTTAGAAACACATTTCATTATTTTAAAATGACTTAGGAATGGCATGATATGGTTGTCAGCCAGGCTCACAGGTGGTATCTCACAGCCTACACATGGACACCCGTGGCACTGCACAAAACTGCATGGATGTAATGCACACATCCAGCACTGGAGCCCAGAGCATCCCAGGGGACTCCTGACTCAGGAGGGATGCAGTGACTGGGTTGCATTAATCACTTTTCCTCCTCTTTCTGGAAGATTTCTGTAGCCAGTGGATGTGGGATAAGCATGAGGTGGCTTTATCTCTCCCACTTGAGTTCTAAGTGATGCTCATACTGTGCCTGGGGAAGTATCCCACTTTGGAGCACAGCCTTTGAGGCTTTTAAAAATAATTTATTTCATCAAGACGATAGACCTCACCCTGCCTTCCTTTTGTAGAAAATACTCAACAAACTCCTCTTTTGTTGCTCAGAGTGAAGCTGTCTTAAATGTTAGTGGTGACAAATTGCTTGGAGACATGAGCTAGGGGAAGCTGCCTGCAGCAGTGTGTGTGGGTGGGCTGTTGGTGTGTGTTGACATATCACCTTGCTTCCCATGTTTTTGGGCTGTGAAACAGGAGGAGGAGATCTTCTGGTTTATCTACTCTGTGTTACCCTTGTTTGTGTTGGGTTTCATCCCACCCCTTGTCTTCAGCTGCTCTATAGGGTCAACACCACCCAGCTTTTCATTTGCCTTCTTCAGAGAGAGAGATTTACCCGATTTTGAACACTTTTGGTGTCCCCTTTAATGCAGTCATATTATTTTTCTAAAGAAGCTTCACCAGTGCTGGGAATAAATTTCAGGTGAGCCTCCTGCCTTCTGTGGTGACATTTTATCCCTTATTCCAGGCTCTGCTCAGCCTTGTTCCTCCTGCAGCAGGACACAACGTGACAGCCCCATGTGCTGGAACATGTGATGGACCCAGTCTTCTCTTTGTCTTTCCCAGCTACCTCCTGATTTTGTGAATTTTTTTAGGAGTCTACATCCATCTGAGACAGTGCCCTCTGCTCTCTGCAAGCTCCTCAGGGAATCAGAAGAGATTAATGCGGTGTAAGTCTTTATTACAGGAATCCTGTGAAACATCTGTATGGTGAATTCACACCATGATGTTTTTAATTATTGTCTCAATCAATTTGTGAGACACAGAGGTAAGTTTTTACTAGTTGTAATTCCTCAGGCTATCCCTGGATGCTTTTTAAACAATGGTTACAATATTTACTGTTCTACAGTTCTCTAGGAACGTGATGGGGTTTTTTTCTAAGAAAGCAAATATATTCTTGAGCTTTTTAGCAAACACTTTCTTTTGCTCTCCCTTGGACCTGAAAACTCATTGCTTTTTAAATATTCCAGTGTTTCTCCCTCAGCCGTCTCACTTTTGGTATGATCTCATCTTTCTCACATTTTGCATCTCTGCAACCCTCTCACATCAAAGACTGAAGTTACTTTCTCAGCAATTCCTTTTCCTGCCTGACTTGCTCTTTCCTCTGCTCCCTGTGATTTAGTGCATTGAATGATTATTGCACTTATTGGCACTTTTTAACTATATCTGAAGGCACTTGTCTTGCCTCCATTTACAGTAGGTATCAAGAGCATTCAGCAGAAATGAACTGCTTTCAGTAACAGAAACCTCAGCAAATGAATGCAAAACAGTTAAAAAGAGTCATCTGTGACCACAAGAATGCAAAAATTTTCTGAAGCACTTGAATTTTAAGAATTTGTATAGATTGACTGCTTTGATTGGGATTACTCATGTTAATTCCATGACTAAATGCCTTGTTTATTGATTTTTGAATGTGAAAAATTGCAAACATCAGTAACTTGAAACACTCACCAGCCACCTCTTCAACGTGATAGGATTGATGTTGAAGTCTTTTACCAGCCCAAGGTCGTGGTACATGTGCTCCAAACAGCTCAGCATCTGCAGCCAGGGACAGGCAGGTTATTGCTGTAAATATCCCTTGAGGACACCCTGTGAAGTGAATTTCCCCCTTGCAAGCATCAAATAATTGCAGAGCCCTCTTTAGATGAAAGAAAAGATGTTCAAAGGTTGCATGATTAAAGACAGTGCAAGAGGGGAGACAGGGAGGTCTGAAAGCTTTTTGAAGCAGACACGCTGCTGTTGACTTCACAGGTTTTGTGCAGGGCTTTGAGTGTCACACCAGCACTCTCCAGTAATTGTGATTTGTGTGTATCACAGCAATTCCTGCTCACAAAAAAAAGGCACTGCCATTTTTCTAGTTCAGCTGGGATGTGTCCTATTGCTCAGTGAAACCAGTGGGAGCTTTTCCCAGGCTGCACAGAAATGGATCAGGCTCTAGCTGAATAGAAAATGACAGCAGAAAATAAGAGATCCCCGAAGAAACATTTATTTCAGACATTTGCCAATACCTTCTTCCTTTATGAGCTCCTAACTCCACTGTCTTACCTCACATTCCTTGTTTAAAAGATTTCCCATTATAACCCTACAAAATTGCAGCAGTTTTGTGATTATCCCCTCATGGAGACTGTAACTATGAATCCCAATAGCTGAAATGCAAGCACAGGCAGCTTTTTTGAGACAACATCTGCCCTGCAGTAGCAAGGAGGATTCAGGTAATTTAGCATCACCCCTCATATTTAATCATCTGGGCTTGAAAGAATTGAAAACAAAAGGCATCAATCATCTCAAAGAACTGAAAACAAAAGATATTGATAATCTCAAGTGTTTGGGTGCTTAACAGCTTCCACCAGTCAGAAATGAACAGTTTTCCTGGAGTTCAAGAGTTTATGTGCATATTCATTCCCCCTTCTCAAGGCCAAATCTGCAGGGGATGGAATGTGGCCATTGTGTTAGAAAATGCAGTTTTCAGGCTGTAAAGTGAGCCAGGGGTTTCAACATGATGGGTATAATGTCACAAATACAGCCCTGGAGGCATTTCTAATTAATTTTCTGTTATTTAGGCTCTTAGAAACTCACCAGAAAAAAAAAAAAAAAAAGATTCAATCAAATGAAACTTTATATTTATCCAGGGAAATATAAATATAAGTCATGGAGTAACAACAGGGTTGACTTTGAGTAATCCAAACAGGAAGGGACTTTCCTGCAAGACCTGAGGGACCATGCCATGAGCTGAATTCTGCTCAGATCACATGGGCAGCATTTTGCTGAAAATCCCCTTGTCCTGGTAGAATATATGTTTTCCAACAGTTTCATAAAAGACTTTCCAAGACAAGAAACTTTATCCAGAAGTGCTGAATTGCCCTTAGCAATGCAGCTGTTGCCAAGAGAGCTTTGGGGGAGTGAGGAGGCGACTCCTGCCCCTGTTCACAGGAAAATCTCGGTTTTCATGTTTATCCTTCTTGGTCAGCAGCAAAAGCTTGAATATGGGACTCTTGTAAGGCTTGAAAAGTGAGAGGGCATTGGAGAAGGAGGACCCAGGCTTGCTGCAAAGCTGTGTTTACTGAGATGCAGCAGAGCACATTATTCATTTGTTTGCAGCTGACCCAGGTTTATGACCTGCCTGCCCCACTGTGAGCACGTGGGCAAACACTCACTGCTAAACAAGCTCTGATAGAATTGAAATATTCTCTGTCAACATAAAGCAGAGCTAAGAGGGTGAGATAAGCCCATATGGTGCTCAGCTCAGCACAGCTTGTGGGGAATCTAATTTCTGAGCAGACTCCTCCTTGCAGGGCAAGTTGAATATCCACACCCTCCTTCTTCTTGCCTTCTTCTTGCCACCTGATAATGTTTCCTAGCCCTCTGAATGAGTTACTGTGCTAGAGCTCTGTCCCAGGAAACTGTGGATAATGGGTTTTGTCTCTCCTCATTCCTTAATAGTCAGACAGCAATAATCCAGCAGTGTTATGGTGCACCTGCCAGACTGTAATTCCCTCTTGCTGCAAAGACCTGACAGGCATTTATGGCCACGGTACAGGGAGGCAGCAGTGGCTGCAGAGCCCCTCTGTCCACACAAGGGAAGCTCTCAGCAAATGGGAGATGGACCTAAAGCCACCAGAGAGCCCTTCTGTTGTTCCTCCAGACACGGGAAATATCCTGAAGTGTGGAAACCCAGGGCACTGGGAATATTTCTCTGTCTGCTCTGGGGTGTCCTGACCCCAAGGGGAGCTCTGACTTTGACCCTCATTCATGGAGAAAACTTCCAAAGCCTCGAGGTAAACTAGAAACCACCAAAGTGTGAAATAGATTGTAGAGATTGTAGAGAGTACTGTAGTATGTCACATGGATGAGAAATTTAGGTTTCAAGATTTTTAGTATGTTATAGATGGGTTCAAGATGGAGGATATAGGGTGTTGCCTTGAGTTCCTTTCTTCTTTCTTCTTCTTCCTCTTCTTGGGTTTAGGTGGTATCTTGTAATTGGGTGGAAAAATCCTCATTGAGGATCTTTAGGGGTCAGTTATTGGGTTAGAAAGGGAAATAATCTAGGTGTCACTTCTTAATGGGGTAGCTTAGTTTTTGATTAGACTTAAAAGGCCTTGTAACAAGAGATTGTTGGCCATTTTTGTGCTGTTTTTCCTGCATGCAGAATCTGGTGCAAACAGCGTGCTGAAGTTTTGATAAGATAACAATAAACAGAAGCTGAAGACTGAAATAATCCAATGTGTCTCTCATTCCTGACACAGAACTGCTCCAGGAGGGATTCCCCTGCCAGGGGAGCCCCCAGGGAGTTGCCCAACTTGGGGTCTGCAAACTCACACTGAAGGGAATGTGCTGTTCCTGGGGATGGGGTATGGGGTGTTTTTCCTTGCCGTGCTGAGCCAGAATCACTCTGAGAAGGTAATTTGGGTGATTGCTGCTGGGGGTGCTGCCAGAACTACCCAAGCCTTCCCCTGGGAGAAAAAACAGCACTAAACCCCTGGCTTAGTCCTGTCCTCCATTATGTTTTTCTTGAGTGAGATTTGCTAGTACATGCTAAATCTGGTTTTACATTATATTATAAGCTATCCACTCTTAAGATCTTTCTCCTTCATGCTTCTAGAGGTTTACACATAGACCTTCCAGAACCTTCTACAGATGAACCATGAATAACACTAATAGCAGTAAAAAAAGGAAGAAAAGTAAGCAATAAGGAGATACTAATTGGCTTTGAATGCAGCCTTGCAACTTCTTCAGAACAAACTGCAGAAAAAACCCTCAGCTGAAGGAGTGTGAATCAATGCCTGCACCTCTGCCTGCTGCTTTATTGATTTGAGTGGAGTTATTGATGATGTGCTTAAGCACACACGTCACTGGGGATTGATTTGTTCAGATAAAATGGTATGGGAGAACTCATGTGGCAGTAATGACAGTGCACCAGTTGAGGGACTTTACTGGGAAGAGATTAAAAAGCAAATAAAGAGGAGCCAGGATATGACAAGCAGCATAATCTACCTGGCATCTGCTAGGAAGAAGCACTGCATTTCTGGTGTGGTATGGAAATAAAAAAAAAAAAATACAGAGTAAGGTGCAGAAAAGGGGGAAAACCCTACAAACTGTCTCAAAGGGCTCTTCTGGCCCCAGTGACTCTCAGAAAGTGCCAACCCAGCCAACGTGGCATCCTCACCTCGTTGGGCTCCCACAGCCAGACGTCAAAAGTTGGTTTCCGCAGAGCCTCAATGGTCTCCTGGGACAGCATGTACTGCAGACAGAAAGGCAGGAGGTGTAAACAAAGGTGTCCCTGGCATGGGAATGCTGTTGGCATGTCCTTGGGGCTCCCAGGGTTCCATACACAAGGGATTTAGCCACATTTCCCAAGGAGACAGCAAATGATCTCTCCCTCTGGCCACCCAACCCTCCTCACCCTTCCCACCAGCTGGGAGCTGCTCGTTGGGGCAGATCCTTGTGGAGCAGAACTTGGGAGAAAAGGGAGAGTGGATGTGTTAAGGAGAAGGTCATGGCTAAATCCAGCAGAGAAAATCAAAGGCACAGGACACAGACCCATCCCTGGCTGCCATGGTTCTGCTGCCTGCAGAGCATCAGCTGCACTCGAAGCTGCCAGTTAGGGAGGGGTGGTGTGAAGTGTCTCTGCTTACAGTGCTAAATTAGCTGGTGGGGATGATATGTTTATTTTCAGATGATTTATGCTCTCATTTCAAGTGTTTTTTCAAGAGTGCCCACAGTTTCAAATTGGTTGTCAGCCTGCAAGATCCAAGTGATTTTTTATCATTACGCTCAGAAGCCTAAAACAAAATCAAGCTCATTCACCAGTTATGGTTGTACAGAAAATGAAAAGAAAAGGAATGTTCAGGGTTAAAAGACATGGGGATATCAGGACTCTACAGATTCATCTTTTCAGGATTCTGTTCATCAGAATAGATGAATATGAGTTTTGGGACTCAAAACCCTTGTGGCTTCAATTGGCCCATTTACCATGGCTGTCTCTAGTTTGGGTTTACTCTCCTGAGCAAGTGAATGACAATCTCTGAGCCATCAAATTGATACTTAATCCAAGGAGGAACAACACAGAAGATTAATTTTTCTTCTTCAAAAGGCAAGGAGTTTTGCATTTGCACATACAATGAACATTTAGTGTGACTTTCTGCAAGAAAAATGCAAATTAGCAGCACAGATTTGGTGTTGCAATGACATCTTCCTTCAGCCTCACTGACATTGGACAAATCCAGCACCTGACAACTGATAACAAATTTTGCAGATTTCCAAAATTTGCAAAACTCCCATGAGTTTTGGTCTAGGAATAATGCAGAAATATAAAAGTTTACTCTGCAGTGGGTCAGTGCAACTCTTCATAGCCTTTATTTTTAATTCAAGATCCTAATGCAGCAGTCCATCAAAGTTTAATCTGACATATATACTTATCAAGGGTAAAAAAAATGGCTTAGAACTGATGTGTTCTGTGAAATCATGTGTTACTGTCAGGAGCACAAGCCTCCTGGGCAAAAGTTAACTAAAAGAAATAGAAGTCCCAGAGTCTCTGCTTCAGTGGAGGTCACTTTAGCGAGGCAGAGCAGAACAAAGAGCAGAATTTACTGCTCTGCTGGGCTCTGGAGACAAATGTCCACGTCACAGACCTGCATCACACAGGACTGTGAGGATTCAGGGTGGCTGGGCAGCTTTGGTGTGTGTGAGGAGATGCTCATAGCTAAACCATGATCTGCAAATGTGGGAGCTGGGCACTGGGCAGGCATAACCAGGCAGCTGTTAACAATTCTGGTGGGCAAATTCTGGTTCTGGGATTCAAGACCCTGTGCTCTTCATGGTTTCAGCCTCATTCATCACTGTGGATTTGTACTTGTACTTGCCCAGGAGACATTTTTCTTCCAGCATTACTGTTTTCTCTAGCAAATACACTAACTCATTTTCACAGGGACAATGAATCATTTTGGAGAGAATCCAAAGTCGCATTTTCTGTTTCCCTAGGTGAAGCATCGGCATAAATTACTTTTTAAATTAAAAAATAATCTATTAGGAGAAAATTGGCAGCAGCACTACTTTCAATCAGAACACAGCATTACAGGGTGTTTTTGATTGTTGCTATGAGCACAGAGAATAAACAAATATAACTAGACAAAAGAGCATTAAATGTTGATGAATGCACAGTGTTCATTAACATTTCAAACACTAATGAGCTTTCAAGTATTAAAGACTACCGAGAATTAAACTTTAAGTCACCACAGGCAACTGATGGCTTTTTCCATTGGCTCAAAGGAGCTTTGGATCAGACCTTGGATTTAGAATAACAGGGAATGAGTGGCTAAGGAGTCACACATTGTAAAGCAGCACTTGTCAGGGTGGCAGCCATGCAGCAGGAATATGGGAAGAGCCAGGATTGTGTGGTACCTTTGGGTAGGATGGCACATCCCGCCGGGGAGCCGGCCTCTTGCTTTCATCCAAAAAGCTGTACTTGCAGGGACAGTTAGTCCTGAAATGAAATATTCATCTCTTAATATTGAGGGAACAGAAGCACAGTGCCTCAAAAAGTGCCACAAGTGCTCTGGTGCCCCAGTAGCCACCCCACAGAGAGCCACCCCACACTACAGCCTCTCCCTTTCTAATGTAGTGTTGCTCCAAATCCTTTGAAAGTGTGATCCTCCTTAGGATTTTCTCCCCTTGTGCAACACCCCTGTTGCCCTTTCTTGGTCTATTTGCATTTCAAGAGAGAAGCATCTGAGTTCAGGCATGTATCCATGGATACCCAACCACTTCTCCTGAAACCAAGTAAGTTCAGCTTGCTGTCCATGGCAGGCATCCTTCTCCAGGGCTGCCAGGACCACGCTGGCCATGGGCACGGCACTCCTGTGCTGATTCACTGCTGAGGGCACCCACTGAGCCCTGCTGCAGCCCATGAGAACTTCCACTCTGATGGTGGGACCTCCTTGGAGAGGCACAGACTTGGCAGACACCTGTGTTTGGCTCCCTGATCCTGGAGAAAGGGAGCCACTGCCAGCAATTACAGGTAATTAACACTTGCCTGGTTATTAACACTGCTAGTTATTTACACTCTTCTTTCTTCTGCATATGGAAAAGCCAAGCTGATGCTTTTCCATCTGAGCAGAGGCCCAGGAGGGAGCTCATCACTCTCTACAATTCCCTGATGAGGATGCAGCCAGGTGAGAGTTGGGCTCTTCTCCCAGATTACCTCAAACTGTGCCAGGGGAGGGACAGCTTGGACATCAGGGAGAATTCCTTCTTTGAAAAGGTGGTCAAAAAGGTTTGGAATCTCCATCCCTGGAGGTGTCCAAGGAAGACCTGGAGGTGACACTCAGTGCTCTGGGCTGGGGACAAGGTGGGCATCAAGCACAAAAAGCCTTGCAGGGCTTTTCCGAGGTGGTTGCTCACATGGACGTTATTAATTCTTGTGTGAGGCTGCTCTTCTTGCTTTTTGCATTTATATTTATAGAGTAATGGAATGGTTTGGGTTGGAAGGGACCTTAAAAGTCACCCAGCTCCACCCACCCTGCCGTGGGCAGAGATGCTGCTCACTGGGTCAGGCTGCTCAGGGCCCCGTCCAGTCTGGCCTTCAGCACTTCCAGGGATTTATCCCTGGAGTCCTAACATTTGGATTATCCTCTCAGTTTTCAAGCCCTCTGCCAAAGGAAGCAAAAATAAACCTCCCAAAAGAAGCCAAGCAAAGCATTCCATTAATTTGTTTTTTTTTGCATTTTTGATTATTATATTTTGCAATGTATCTCTTTTGAGTGATTCTCTTCTTTGTTGGAAATTAGACCAGGTCTCTTTTCTCCTCTTAACATTGATGTCTGCTGTCTTTTCTGGTGTCAGTGTCTGAATCCTGTGAAAGTTATGTCATTTTACAGCTCATGGTGATCAGCTGACTTCAACCAGCTGCCTTTTCCTGCCCTGTTTAAGGAGATTCTCACTTGATGAAAAGCTGTCTTAATAGTTTCTAAAGCTGTTTCCTCAAAACTCCACTGTGTGGGGTATTAGTAGGATAAAAATAGTGAGATTGGGGCATTCCTTGCCCTAATTGGAGCTGACTGCCAGGGTTAGCTGAGGGTCAGCCAGCTATCTCTAATTCCCAGCTGTAGTAGGATATTGAAGCCTTCATCCCAGCACACTGGGGAACACACCAGAGCCAGGATGCATCAGACCTTCACAAATGTAAAACTGGATCTGCAAATGATCATGATTTTAAATGACACTATGATGCTATTAGCATCTGCCAGTGGTGAGTGCAAAAAACAGACAAGCAAAAAAAAAAACAACAAAAAAAGGCAATTTGAGGAGGATGCAAATGGAGCTGCTTTGCTCTTCTGAACAGAGAGATGCACAATTCACTGTGCTTTTATAAACCTGGCTACCCAGCCTTATTCTCTCATTTAGTAATGTAACAGCAAATATAAGAATAGGTAAACATCCATACAGCTGTGTACACTGTGATCTTATTGAAGGAATACAGGCACTCACAAATGTTTATGTGCATGAATTACATTTAGATGGGATCCCTAATTGAAACCACAGTGCATTATCTAGCAAATGACCCTGCACAAGGGATGACAGGTCTAAATGAGAGCAAATACATTTCCACTTCCCTGGGATGCCTCTGTTCCCACACAGATCTCATGCCAGCAGGAGAGGGTTTGCTCGGCCACCCTGGGGTGAAGCATTCCTAGGCTGGGGTCACCACAGGCTGGTGACCTGGCTGCTGTGGGGCTGTGGTGGCTTGGGAATAAGGAACATCAGCTCATTCCTCTGCAGCTCCTGATGGGAGCCACCAAGGAGCATCATCTCCCCAGCCTTGCATCCACATCTAGCTGCTGCTCTGGCTCCCGCACCCACAGGGTGCAGATAATCCTGGGCAGAATTCTGTGCAAGCTGGAGGAGCCTTTGGGCAGCTGGGAGGAGGGAGAAGCAGCTCGGGGTAGCCAAGAGGAGCTGTGACAGAGCCACGTGGACACAGCACCAAAGTGAGGATGCTGAGCAGAGCGGGAGCAGCTGTGAGTGTGAGCTCAGAGCAGGCCAGGGTGGGTGTCTGTGCCCAGCTGAGCTCACTCCATCTTCACCACAGCTTTCCAGCCTCACACCCTGTGCTGCTCTCTGCTGGAGCCTGTCACATCTCACCACGGGCCCTCGGTGAAGGTGACACCCCAGCTGGAGCTGCCTGCACTGAGCAGATGGAACACCCCCCCAATTCCAGCTTTTCTTGTTAACAGGTTGCTGTTTAGGCCACAAAATATAGATTGGAAGGTGACAGGAACTGGGATGGGAGTTAGTCATGGCTGCTGGGACATTCTGGTACTTCCTGATGTGGTGTGGTGGCAACTGAGCGAACACCAGCTTGCCATAACTTCTGTTTTTGGACCTAATTCCCTGTCCACCTGTGCATCACTGTTCATCACCATCGCTGTGCATCGCTGTTCAGCTCTGCCAGCTCCCTACCACAGCCGAGGAAAGACACGTGGGCACACACGTTTCTCACATCACACCCAGCACAAATCAGCACACATGCTCTTGCATTTGCTGCCAACCTGAGCTTGGATTTTTCTAATGAGATTTCTCCACACACCCCAAAAAGAAATGATGCAAGCGACAGGGCAGACTGCATTCCACCCCGCTGGGATAAATCTGAGGCACACATCTGAGGTTAATAACGTTACTCTGCGTTTATGCTAATGTGACAGCTGAATTTGGCCTTGGACTTCATGGGAATGAATTATCATTGTGCCTCCTGACATATCTGGATGACAACATTTATTAAAATGAGAGATTAGAAAGCCTGAATCTTTTAGCACATTTCCCATTGCCCTCAGTAGGAAACAGTTTTGATTAAGGGTCAGACAATTTGACCCTGAGACTGTTAAGACAGCACAGTTACATTCACTGAGAAAAATCCCATTCACCCACATTTCGAGCAGCATGGTATATTCCTCTCCAGCAACATTCCCAGGAGTATTCCCAGTCTCACAGTGATGATTTCCTCATCCTGGTGGGGCACTTCAGTGACACAGGGGGTGTTTTCCAGCTGAGACCACGCACTGTACGAAATGCAATTTTTTCTCCTGCTGTTTTAATTACAGCAAAGCCGAGCTTCACCATCACAATGAGCCCTTGCATTAGAATGCAAATTCCCAATTTCTCATTGAATTTGAAACGGATGATTTATAATAGCATGAGATGATAATTAGAGGAGCTGCTACATATTTATTTGGTAATTTCCCAGAATATATTGGAGCTGATTTGAGTGCTAACTGGTTCCCAACCAAAGGCTGCACTGCTCTTTCCCCATTCTCTCTCTCTCCCAGTAAATCTGGATGGAGAATTCCCATTCTGTTTGGTGACAAATAACTCCCAAGACCTTTTTCTGTATTCCCATGGCCAAACTAATTTAACTGGTGAATGGCTATAAATCTTCAAATGGTAAATTAAAGCCACTGTCCTTGATGGTTATTGGTTTCCTTGCTCTTTTACTTCTAAGCCCAGGAGATAATTCTGTGGAAATGTTGCATTAGGGTTTGAAACCAGACAATCCTGTGGTTAGGTGCCAAGCAGAACTTACCTGCTGCTCCTTGCTGCCATTTCCTCCCTCATCTTTTTAATGTCACGCTTGCATTTCTCAATCTCCACCACTTTCAGGCCTTCCACTGTCAACAAAGGGAAACAAGAGGGCTGTTACCATGGCGAAAAAGTCGCAGGGTCTCATTTCACAGTGGTGCAAAATGTCAGCCAGCTCTGCCAGTGGGGTCACCCAGCGAGGAGCCGGTGCTGCCAAAGCCAGGCGCGACCTTGGAAACCCACGGGAATTCTCTGCTGCCAGTGCAGGTAACAGCCACAGCGCTTTCATTCACTCCGTGGCTTTTCCACAGCAGCAGGCAGCTCTTCTGCTGCCTTCACTTCTGGGCTGCAGGGCAGGAATCAGAGGAAATCCTGAGCAGGAAAAAGCCCCACTCCCGTGATGGGATGATAAGCGCGGCTACGCGAGCGCGTCCCGGTAGGATTAGAATTCCCATTAAGATAAAAGGTTTTAATTCATGCAGAGCATTAAGGAGCTCTGAGAGGCATTGCTGGATACAGAAAAAGCCAAAGTGAGAATGCAGGAGGGAGAGAAAAATGTTGAAAATTCGGCTTTAATGATAGATTTTTAACTATTGAAATCCTGTCACTTCTTTTTGCCGATCAATTCTGTAATCAAAGGCTATTTCTACGTGCAGCACAGAAAATCCTATATTTCCCTTCTGCATGTAATTGTGAGAGCCACGAGGCAAAAAGTTTGATTGCCTTTTTATGCAGCAGGGCACTTTATTCCCCATAGCTGAGAGTGTGAGAATAATTCTCCCTTTTCTTTCCCCCTGGCTGAACTGTCAGTGTGATCAAGGACACAGCACCATTTATTACCTCCATGTCGTTCACATGCAATCATTTCACAGCTCATTTGTTTACTGAACTCCTTGTTTGCATGGATGAGCCATGGCTCAGGGAACGTGCCATGGGGAAAATCAGTATTCAGCAACTTTCTTAGAAAATCATGGTCTGAATCACACTTATCTGGAGAGCAAATGATAAAACCCTGCCTTGAAGGGCACAGCTTTGGAGATAAGCAGAGACCTCAGTTTTGTTTACCTTTATGAGAGTAACAACAAAGATTGCAGCTGGAACTGGGAAAAGGGAAGGAGATGTGTATGGACTAAGCCCAGAATGCCACAGGTTAGGAGAGGAAAGGGAAAAGTTGATGTTTGTTTACAGGGATGTCCTCCTGACATCCCATTTAGGCATTTATAAAAATGCCTGACATCCCATTTAGCCATATTAAAAATCCCATTTAGGCATTTATATTTTTTCGTCTGTCGTTGTTACAGGCAGTTTCTTTGGGTGATCACAGTGTGGTGATGCAGGCAAGCTGCTGTCCTGCTCTTTGGATATCTTAGTTCTGGATACCTCCCTACACTTTTTTGGGTGCTTTGCTCAATGGCTGATGGTCAGCTGTAGCTGATCTGCAGGCCCTGTGCTGCTCTGTACCACGCTGGTGTATTCACCTGGGAAAAATTCTATTTACCAAGATGCCTAATTGCTGGCCAGTGCCTATTTGAAGCAGAGTTATCAGTGACAGGGAAGTGGGGCAGGAAACTGCAGGGAGGAGTTCTGGTGCAATATGGTAGCCCTGAACATTTTTTCGTGTTGCATCTCTTTGGTTTTCATCCCAAATCTCTCTGGGGGAGCAGGGAATTTACATAATTATTTTCTTAAGGTAGATGTGAAGTGCTTACAAATTGCAAAGGGTTTTTTGCCAGCTTCCTCATTCTTGTGAGAGCTGCTGTGCAAAGTCAAGCCATGGGACGAAGCATTCCTGGTGCCAGCTCTTCATGGGCTTGTTTTCCAAGGGGAAGTGACAAGCTTTAGCTGGGATTTAAAAGTCAGCTAAAAGATTTGGCTCCCTGAAAACACATCTCTGGGCAGGAATGGGAAGGAAGGTGAGAACATTTCGTGTGAGGTGCAGATGTAGGTGCTGTCATGAGCACTTATCCCCACACACACACACGTCCCCTCTGAGGAAGAAATCCTGGAGAGCACATGTGAAAGTGGTGGAAAAGGGATCTCTGAAGGAGGCAGGAGAAAAGGCAAAATAAAAGAACAATTCTTTCCACATTTGGCTTGCAAATGATAAATGGCCATGTCATGTGCACTGATTAAGGGGCCCATTACATTATTCTGCAGCGAGAAATACCTTCTGAAAAGACCCTGTGCTGTCTAAAGAAATCCTTGGGCTGAATCCAGCAGTGAAACACGGCTCTCAGAGCAACCTCTGAGAGCCCAGCTCGAACAGGGAGGTTGGACACTCCCTCTCTCCCACGGTTTTGCTTCTTGAACATGACAGCCCAGGGAATTATTTCAGAATGCTGCAGACTGGGCTCTGTTGCAAACTCTGGAAGCCTGCCTTTGAGCAGCCCAGGGAGCTGCTTCCCACAGATTTCTCCATCAGCTGCTGCTTCCACCGAGGGAGAGAACCCTCCTTTGGGGAGCAGGGAATTCAGTCCTCCTGCGTGGCCCAGCAGCTCTGGGCATGCTGCCTTCCCTAAACCAGCAATCAAATGCTGGAGTGGGCAGGTGCTCAGTTTTTTCCTGCCAGGAATGGCATGAATGCCTTGGTTATCTTCCTCCTGTGCCGTGAGCTGCCAGTGCTGAGAGGCAGAGGGTGTGCCAGGGGTCCCAGGGGCTCACCAGAGGCCAAAAGCAGCCCCTGGCTGGCTGGGATAGTTGCTTTCTTGGGCTGCCAAGGGGATACAAAGACCCACAGCTTACCTCATTTGCTCTAATCCATGGCACTTAGCCCTGAGGAGTGGAACTAGGCAGAAGTTTCACTGAAAATGCAGAGTGACTGAGCTCATTTGTCTTTTCTCTTTTTTTTTTTTTTTTTTTTTTTTTGGGGTCAAAGAATAAACCAGCAGAGCTTTGGGAGGAGCAGAGCAGCCAAACAGACAGGGAGGAATTCATAGCTGGGCTCCTTTCTGGGGGGTAGGCAAGCTGCAGGTTGCCCCTTCCATGGACATCCCTCAGCACCAGGAGCTGGGGTGGCCACAGGGAGAGGCTTCCCTGCAGCTGCTCTTCAAGTAAGGACATTTCTTCCTCTTAATTCTTCCACATGGGAATGGGATTGGTAATGGGATTGAGAAAAATGGGGAAAAATGGGAAAAAGGGATTGGGAAAAATGGGAAAAAGTGAGAAATGGGAATGGGAAACTGGGCTGGAAGATGTTCTCCACCAGGCACACCAGCATGGTGGCTTCTCCTAGGAATGTGGGTTCCACCAGGAACACTGAGACCACCAGGATTCCTGGGGGGGCGGGGGGGGGAAATGGGAAAAATGGGAAAATGGGATTGGAAAAATTGGAGAATGGGATTGTAAAAATGGGAAAAATGGGAGAATGGGATTGGAAAAATGGGAAAAACAGGAGAAATTGGAAAATGGGATTGTGAGAAGTGGGAAAATGGAGAAATGGGAATTTCCCAGCCCCTCTTTCTCTTTATCAGCAGAGAGCTGACAAAGGGATCAGTCTCCCTGAGCAGCTGCAGGGTCAAGGTAGCTTCTGGTCAGGGGATGTTTCAGGAACAAGAAACTATTTTTTTTCCCAGCCAGCCCTAGTGGGAAAGTTCTTTGTGCAGCTGTAGTGCTGGGAAAGGCTCTCCTTGCTCCTGACTTCAACATTGAGCATCCTCAAGGATGTGGCCTTTGGAGTCACAACTGGATGGCAGCACCTCATTCATGCCCCTTCCCTGCCTCTCTGGGACCTGTGTTCTGCCTAATATACTGAAACAACTCAGAAACTGCACAAGGAGGGAAAAAAAACCCACCCAAAAAACCAGAAAAGGAGCTCATTGAGCAGGTGAATTGAATTTGGCTCTTGCACTGTAACGATGTGGTTGTGTTATGGTGCAAAGAACAAGAGAGGGAGCTGGGGGTGCCCAGCCTGGAGAAAAGGAGGCTCAGGGGTGACCTTGTCACTGCCCACAGCTCCTGGAAGGTGCCTGTGCCCAGCTGGGGCTGGGCTCTTTCTCCAGGAGCTGACAGAGCCAGAGGTCACAGCCTCGAGCTGCACCCAGGGAAATCCAGGTTGGATATCAGGGAAAAGTTTTTACAGAAATGGTGATAAAGTTCTGGAGTGGCTGCCCGGGGAGGTGGTGGAGTCACCACCCCTGGGTGTGTTTAACAAAGCCTGGATGTGGCACTGGGTGCCAGGGCTGGGTTGAGGTGCTGGGGCTGGGTTGGACTCGATGATCCTGAAGGTCTCTCCCAACCCAGTGATTTTGGGATGCTGTGGGGGGTGGCACTGACAGCAGGGGGAGGGTGTTCCCCCCTGGAATTACAGACCAAACCCTCCAGTGAGGGTGGGCTCAGGTTCCCAGTGTCAGAGGGATGGGGGGTCACAGGGAGGTGACAGCACCTGGGCCATGGGGACATGGGAGGGCTGGCCAGGGGCTGGGAGGTGCAGAAAGAGAGGTGGGTGGTGGAGACCCTTTGCCACAGGGCCATGGGAACAGCAGGACGTGGCCCTAGCCCCAAAGCTCAGTGCAGGGCTCAGCAGCCCCTCAAAGGGAGGACAGGAGGAGCTCTGGATGCTGGCAGCACCACCCTGGTCACCACACCAGGGCCACCACAGGCTCCCACCATCCCCACGCCTCACCAAGGGCTGGCCTGTGGCCTTTGGGGCTCAAAATTGGCCAAATTACAAGAGATTAGAGAGAATGGAGGAGCAGGACAGGTCAGAGGTCACAAGGCACCAGTTCCCACTGTGATAGGAATAAAGGGACACTCACATTCAACCTTTTTCTCCAGCATTGCCAAGTGATTAGCTACTTCCGTTTTCAGTTCATTGATTTTAAAAACCCTGGAAAGAAAACCCTCATGTATTAATGTTATACATTTAATGCTCTCCCTACCCTAGGTGCTAAGAAATGTCCACATTTGTGTCTCCATGATTGATCTGCCCAGCCACGTTTGTCATGAGGAAAAGAAAATTTTCCATGGAAATGCTACCATTGGGGCAGAAAATACACCCAGGTTTAATTTTCAGAAAAAATAACAGGATATTTTTTTTTATGGCCCTGGGAATGTCCTGTGGCTGTACAACACTTCATCTCCCGCTCTCTTAGCAGTGATTTGCTACTGTACCCCCCCCTAGGGCAGCAAAGTTAAATTGATAATTGCTAAATTGATAATTCATAATTGTCCAAGAGCAGCGTCTTGGTGTCTGCACACTCTGAGACCTCCTCCCCTCCTGTGGAGTTACACTGGTGATTTGCTGGGCTGTGGTGGGACTGATCTGTCTTATTGAAACCAGCTGGGATTAAATAAGCAGCTACACAGATGCTGAGAAATCCTCTCTGAGGGGAGACATTTTTGGGTGATAAAGGGGAAAATGAAACAAATCTGATGATTTGACTGCTCAACAAAGAAGCACTTCTTTTTCTTCCTAAGAGGGAAGGAGCATTTACTACTTGATCTCCTTTTTAGATCAAAGTTAATCACTGAAATTGCTTTTTGGTTTGAGCTACTGTATTGCTGTCAGCAGGAAATAATGTGTCCCAGACCTAAATTTGGCAGGCAGAGTGGGATTTGAAAGATGTCTTAAATGCCCCTCTGCCTCCTGTGAAAATTTCACTTCAGGCTGATAAAAGAAATAGCATTTTAAATTAATAATGATGTTCAGTTTCTTACCTCGAGAACTGCTCAGCAATCTGTCCCAATAAATTCTGGAACAATTCTTCTTTCTCTGAAAAAAAAAAATAGAAGGAAGACATGACAGAAAAAAAAAAAAAAAAAAA